TTTTTTTTTTTTTTTTTTTTTAAACTACAAATGCTATCTATATATAGTTTAAAGGCACTCCACCCTACATGTCACAGTACTCGACAAATAAAACAACACCTGGGTTAAAACCTCAGAAAAAAATTATCAGAAAGGATACAGCCAGTAAAAGTTCATATATGTCATTAAAAGGGTGTTTTACGCTCTATGTCTAAATCAGTTTGAAACTTACATCATTGTTACTGCACGACAAGATAAACCAATAAACTTTCTGTGTTTTTTTAACAACATGAATTATTTTCTTGTTCAGTTATTGACTTTAAACTATTTTAGACATTTTTTTTTTAAATGGAGATAGTCAAACAGTAAAATGCCCATCCCCAATGAAAAAGACTTTAAAAAATAACAAACAGATAGCAATATAGTTCAGGCTTACATTTTTGCCAGCTCTGGCCAATGAGTATTTTTGTGTTCATTGTGTCTTCTAGTGTTCAGTAAGTATTTTAGGGTTGTGGAAGCATTGTAAGGAGTGTCAGGTATGTCAGCAGCACAAACCATCCACTACGCCAGTAGTGGAACCTGGACATATGCTGGGAGTTGACCTCATGGGACCATTTCCCAAAAGTCCAAAACAGAATGAATATCATCTGGTAATTGTTGACTATTGTTCAAAGTGGGTGGAGTTGTTTCCTTTGCGTGTCGCAAAAGCTCCACAGATTGCATGCATCCTGGTGGAAGAAATCTTCACCAGATGGGATACCCCAATGTATCTTGTATCTGACAGTGGATCCCAATTCACCTCACAATTAATCTGCCTAGTCTGCAAACAATGGAGTGTCATTCAAAAACTAGCCACTACAGCCCACCCTCAAACAAACCTTACAGAACAAGTCAACCATACCCTCAAAACCATGATTGCCTCATATGTTCACGATCACCATCACCATTGGGACAGATGGTTGGCAGAGTTCTGTTTTGCCATTAACTCGGCTTGGCAGGAGAGTACAGGATTCACTCCAGCCGAAATCATGCTGGGACAAATAAATTTTCAGCAGCTAGTAGACAAGGTTAACAAAGGCTGATCAGAATGAATCTATCAAGTTTTTCATGCACATAAATGGTTTTATATACTGCAGTGTTTCACACAAACACAAGTAACTCATACCATTTGATGGAGCTCCTCATTCTAAATAACTTTGCCTCAAGAACCATTGGAGTCAGTCAAATTGTTCATTAAAGGTTTGCGATTAATTAAAAAAATATACTTTGTGAACTAGTCCAGGGTCCCTGGAGGACTAGTGGTTAGGCCCCAGTGCTCTCAGCGCTGCGGCCAGGGTTTGATTCCTGGCCAGCGAACCAACCCCAGCCACTGGAGTAGCATACACAGTGCGCTCTCAGTGCCAGTCCCAAGTCCGGATAAAACTGGGGAGGGTTGCATCAAGAAGGGCATCTGGTGTAAAAACTGTGCCAAATAGGTGGACCAATGTTCTGCTGTGGTGACCCCTAAAGGGAGCATCCAAAAGAGGAACAACAGCAACATACTTTGCGAACTAGTACTAGTTTTTTCACTCAACCAAAATAAAACCAGTGCAGGACAATTGTGTGGACTCCTTAGATCAATAATTCTGGGGAAAAAAATGCAGAACTTTTGATTTACTCTCGTGATGGCTCATCAAAGCGTTTGAAGAGGTTGTGGCCACTTTTACTGAAATGGCTATAACTCTTGAATGGAATGAGATATTTTTGCCAAACTTGGCAAACTTGTGTATAAGCTCAATCTGAGATCAAATGCTTAAAATGGCAGAGCTTGGCCACGTGGTGGTGCTATAACAGGACAAAACATGTAATTGGCACTAAATATGGAACCATTGTCCAATCAACTTGAAATCTTGTACAAACTGTCTTTGTCCATGGTACCATCAGTGTCTATGAGGACAGTTGGGATTCTTGAAAAATATGGCCACCATCAGCCAATCAATGTTTTGGCTGTTGGCCATTTTTAATTGTGTGTTAAGCTATATTTTACAAATGCATTGGAATATTGTTTAAAAAAAAAGTTTAGGGGCAGCTAAAAAATATATAGAAAATATATGTTCTTAAATAAAAAAAATATATAAAAACATTTCTAAAAATACTAATAACTTTTCATTTCATTATCCTATTGTCATGCACCCAGTCTGGTTATATTTCGATCATGTCAAAAAGAATGATACCAAATATGCCTTTGTTGGCAAAAAAATTTCTGTCACTGTGAATTTTTTTGAATAACTTATCCTAAACTGTTTGTCGGGTACTTCACTAAATTTTGCTCAGGTCATCCTCAGACAATGAAGACCAAAAATTATTCAAAGATTTTTGATAGACCAAACCGCTCATATATAACAGGTCAACAAATATAATGGCGATCATGCCAAAATTAGTTATTGTCACTAAACTTGGTAATCATGTTCACCTATGGACTCTGTATTGTTCTATGTATCTTGTCAGGAACTGGCCACTGGGGGTGCTATTTGTCAAAAGTGATTGTTCCCCGCATATTGGCACTTGAGACTATATTTTGGGGGCCAAGCAAGTGAAGCGTTTTATGTTTTGGATCTTGTCTTGAATATCATAAGTCCTACAAAGAAATTTCTTTTTGCTCATTATTCTTTGAGTTTTCAAGAACCATTTTGCACCGCCAACTTAAAATTTGCATTAGATGCAAAATCTACTTTTGAGAACTAGGATCTCAAAATCCTAATTAGGATCTTTGGCCTATGATCTTTGGCCTATCTTCACAAATTTTTTTCAATATTTTCAATTTTGAGAATAATTAATAATTATTAATAAATAATTATTTTATTATTAATTAATTAATTAATTTATTTATTTTAATTTTTATATTTTTCCCCTGATGCATAGAAAGTTCAGGCATATAAAAGAAATGTATAAGTGCATTTTATTTGATTCTGTTGTGAAGTAGAGTCTACTATTAAGGAAGTGCGTCGATGGTTGCTGACGTCACCCTCTTGCGCCAGTTCATGGTGAGAGATGCGAGCCGCACTTTAGTTCTCGCTTAATCTTATCCATCTTGCGATTCTTCCTTTAAATATATGCCTGAACTGTTTCATTGCATTAGCTTGTGCTTGTGGAGGAGAGCCACGAGTTGGATTTCAAGACAAAGGAATTGCGCAATCAGAGGACTCGTTCGTGAAGAGGAAAACGATTCTTCATCGTTTGATTCGGTGAACACTCTGTAGGCATTCATATTCTCACACTGACTGAACTGCGCCCAAACATACTTCACTTCATTCATCTAAGGTTTCTAATTGTTACTGACATTTTTTAAATTATTTTATTATACGTTTTCATTTTCAATTGTAATTAAGGTGTAATTGTGTTTATACATATACCATTTTTTTTTTTTTGTATTCAATTTATTTTATTTATTTTTTTGGTGCAGTAGTTTTCAGGCAGGTTTGAGTTGAATTTGCAGTTTGAAGAGGAGGAAAGATAAGAGATCTCAAATACAGATGTTATATGTTTAAAAAAAAATAATAATAATAATTTTGTGTATGTGTTTTTATTCAGGCAGTTATTGGTTGGATCGAGCTCCGAATTCACAAGTGCAGACACCTTTTATAGGCACAATGTAATTGTAATTCTGTGCTTAGTGTGAGATCCCGAACCCGAGACTCCAAATACTATTAGTTTATGTATACCAATTTGGTGAGCTCAGACCCAGTAGATATTTTTTCCCTTCTTTTCTTTATTGACATAAATCCAAGACACGGGTTACATAAGCAATATGGGAGCCACATGTCACTCAATACTTACAAGATTGAGCCTTATTTACTCAAACAGTTGTAACTTATGAGTGCTTGTATGGATTTGCATGAAACTTGAAATTTGTATACAGGAGGCTATTGAGGTGATAGGCAAAGTTTGAGGCGTGATCATACATAGGGGACGGAGCTAATATCATAAATGTTTCTCAGCAACTGTAAGTCTGATCAAGCTGACATTTGGTGTGGTGCATCTGTACTGTGTTAATCTGTAAGTGGATTTTTTTTTATGATGATTTAATTCATTTAAAAACATGGCCACCATTGACCAATCAGCTTTCAGCAGACATTTGACAGGGTTAACATTGTAGATTCAGTTACTGACCTCCTAATAATTAATGCAATATAACTCAAATTGGTCAATGGAGGTGCTATTCTTATTTTTGCACAGTAAAACAAGTATATCTCTTGGAAAATACGGTACAGAAAGAAAATTCTTTTTTAACTTGATTCTATTAAAAAAACTATAGAAAATCTTGTAGGGTGCATCTATACGCTAATCTATAAGTGGATTTTTCAAGATCCCCAATTACTGAAAAACATGGCCATCATTGGCCAATCAGATTTTAGCAGATATTTAACAAGGTTCCCAGTAAACTATCATAATAAAACTTGAATGGTAGTTTCAGAGAGGGACCCACTAGTAGCTTATGCAGTCTCACTCAAATTGGCCACTGGAGGCACTATTCACAAGAGTTGGAGTTAACACCAAGTAGCTGTTTCTCAGGAACCAAAAGTTCAATTGAGCTGAAATTTGGTGTGCTGCATCAATCTGCTAATCTGTAACTGGATTTTTAATCAGCACTGAATTACATAAAAACTTAGCTACAGCTAACATTGATCTATCATCACAAAACTTGATAAGTATGTTCATTGATGGTCTATTAATGGTTCTGTGTATCTTAGCAAGAACTGGCCACTATACACAGTGATATTTGCAGGGAGTGCTTGGACCCTGCAGATCACAGCTTGTGGCTATATTTACTGATTTTATTCTTTGTTAAAATGTGATGGGCACCCCAAACCATAAGTCATAAAGACATGAAACTTTTTCAATAGATACTTTTCAATAGTACTCCCTTCCACTACTAAGGTAAGCGAGATGGGCCCCATTGGCAAAATGGTGGTGCTATCTTCATTTATCTTCACAAACTTTGCACTATACTATTCAGGAGAGGGTGAAGCTCAATAATTATCAAAAAGCATGCTGACATTTTTTAAACAATATGGCCACCACATCTCAATCAATTCTAACAAAAGCATCTGTCAGTAACAAGGTGGTATTTTACATCAACTACCAAGGGAACATAAAATTACAAGTGATGTTGATGTGGGTTAGCAAGCTCCTGAAGTGGGCAGATATTGGTCTCTGAGACACTACCAGGTTGATACAATCAGACAGAAGATTTACTGTCTCTATGCAAGCCTATACCCAGTGACTCACAAACCAGTCAGGATATGGGGCAGGAAATTAAACTATTTAAATTATAATTAAATTATTAGGGTTGACCACTATTTTCTGAGGTTTCATTGATAACAATAATAATAATATGCTGAATGATTTGTTTTGTGGAAGAAAAAGAAGAAGAACCCTAGCTACAAGTGGTGATCATCAGGGTCTAAGCACTGTCAACATAAATATCGCCTCCCAGTTGTCAATTCTTGCCAAGTTACATAGAACAATATAAAGTCTACAGATGAACATACTGTACTTATCAAGTTTTGTGAGGATTGCCACACAAAAAATTATAAATATGAAAGGCCATAATTGTGTAATATGTTGCTGAAAGCTGAATGGCTGAAGGCAGTCCTGTTTTAGAAGTAATCCAATGGAAATTAAAATCTAGTTATAGATTATCAAAACAATGCAGCACATCAGTTGGGGGGGGGGGGGGGTTGGGGGGGGGGGGGGGGATTGCGGGTGACTACCTAAGTGTTAGCTCCTCTCCGACTGTTGCATATTTTTATTTCTACCAAAGTGATAAGATTTTGTTACAACCAGTGCTAACTGAAATGTGAATGATTAGCTCTCGACTGGGACAAATTGATTCTCTATTGGATAGCATCAATAACCACCTCGACATTATCAAGGGCATAATGTCATCAATGCAAGAATCGTTGGCTGGCTTAACAGGCAAAGTAACCTCAAACCAAACCTGTCTTTTAGATGCCAAAGATAGGATTTCTACACTGGATGACTCTGTGGGTACCCAGCAGTCTGTGATTACTATACTCCTGAGGTGAGGTTGAGCAACTACAAGCCAAATCTGGAGAAGCGGCGCCGGCACAAGAATCTAAAAATAATTGGTCTCCCTGAAAAAACTGAGGGCTCTGATTTGGTGAAGTTTCTGAAAGATATGTTGCCTGTGTAGATGGAACTCCCCGTGGTTCTTCACTTGGATTTTCACTTGAACGGGCACAAAATGCAAAGTCCGGCAGGACAGAACATCACAGTGCATTTTTGAAGCTATAATGACAAAGAGGCTGTGCTCCAGGCCACACAGGTGAAATAACACTTCCTGTACAACAATA